GGGTGGATCCATGTGATGGGATGGGTGGATCCATGTGATGGGATGGGTGGATCCATGTGATGGGATGGGTGGATCCATATGATGGGATGGGTGGATCCATATGATGGGATGGGTGGATCCATATGATGGGATGGGTGGATCCATATGATGGGATGGGTGGATCCATGTGATGGGATGGGTGGATCCATGTGATGGGATGGGTGGATCCATATGATGGGATGGGTGGATCCATGTGATGGGATGGGTGGATCCATGTGATAGGATGGGTGGATCCATGTGATGGGATGGGTGGATCCATGTGATGGGATGGGTGGATCCATGTGATGGGATGGGTGGATCCATATGATGGGATGGGTGGATCCATGTGATGGGATGGGTGGATCCATGTGATAGGATGGGTGGATCCATGTGATGGGATGGGTGGATCCATGTGATGGGATGGGTGGATCCATGTGATAGGATGGGTGGATCCATGTGATAGGATGGGTGGATCCATGTGATGGGATGGGTGGATCCATGTGATGGGATGGGTGGATCCATGTGATGGGATGGGTGGATCCATGTGATAGGATGGGTGGATCCATGTGATAGGATGGGTGGATCCATGTGATGGGATGGGTGGATCCATGTGATGGGATGGGTGGATCCATGTGATGGGATGGGTGGATCCATATGGAGGGAAGTGTTCAACAATATATGAAGGTGTGGAACAATGTATGGAGGTGTGGAACAATATATGGAGGGAGTCATGAAACAATGTATGAGGGGAGGTGTGGAACAATGTATGAGGAGGTGGGGACCAATGTATGGTGTGGAACAAGGTATAAAGAGAGGAGTGAAACAATGTATGGAGGTATGGAACAATGTATGAAGGGAGGTATGGAACAATGTATGAAGGGAGGTGTGGAACAATGTATAGTGTGGAACAAGGTATAAAGAGAGGAGTGGAACAATGTATGAAGGGAGGTATGGAACAATGTATGAAGAGAGGTGTGGAACAATGTATAGTGTGGAACAAGGTATAAAGAGAGGAGTGGAACAATGTATGAAGGGAGGTATGGAACAATGTATGAAGAGAGGTGTGGAACAATGTATGAAGGGAGGTGGGGAACAATATATGGAGGGAGGTGTGGAACAATGTATGAAGAGGTGTGGAACAATATATGGAGGGAGGTGGGGAACAATGTATGAAGAGGTGTGGAACAATATATGGAGGGAGGTGTGGAACAATGTATGAAGAGGTGTGGAACAATATATGGAGGGAGGTGGGGAACAATATATGGAGGTGTGGAACAATGTGTGAAGAGGTGTGGAACAATATATGAAGAGGTGTGGAACAATATATGGAGGGAGGTGGGGAACAATGTATGAAGAGGTGTGGAACAATATATGGAGGGAGGTGTGGAACAATGTATGAAGAGGTGTGGAATATATGGAGGGAGGTGGGGAACAATGTATGAAGGGAGGTGTGGAACAATGTATGAAGAGGTGTGGAACAATATATGGAGGGAGGTGGGGAACAATATATGAAGAGTGGAACAATGTATGAAGGGAGGTGTGGAACAATGTATGAAGAGAGGTGTGGAACAATGTATGAAGGGAGGTGTGGAACAATGTATGGAGGTGGGGAACAATGTATGAAGGGAGGTGTGGAACAATGTATGAAGGGAGGTGTGGAACAATGTATGAAGGGAGGTGTGGAACAATGTATGAAGCGTTGAACAATGTATGAAGGGAGGTGTGGAACAATGTATGAAGAGAGGTGGGGAACAGTATATGAAGGGAGGTGTGGAACAATGTATGAAGAGAGGTGTGGAACAATGTATGAAGGGAGGTGTGGAACAATGTATGAAGGGAGGTGTGGAACAATGTATGAAGCGTTGAACAATGTATGAAGGGAGGTGTGGAACAATGTATGAAGCATTGAACAATGTATGAAGGGAGGTGTGGAACAATGTATGAAGAGGTGTGGAACAATATATGGAGGGAGGTGGGGAACAATATATGAAGAGTGGAACAATGTATGAAGGGAGGTGTGGAATAATGTATGAAGGGAGGTGTGGAACAATGTATGAAGGGAGGTGTGGAACAATGTATGGAGGTGGGGAACAATGTATGAAGGGAGGTGTGGAACAATGTATGAAGGATTTAGGGGTCCCGGTATAGATTTATGTATGAAGGGAGGGGTCCCGGTATAGATTTAGGGGTCCCGGTATAGATTTAGGGGTCCCGGTATAGATTTAGGGGTCCCGGTATAGATTTAGGGGTGGGTATAGATTTATGTATAGAAGGGTCCCGGTATAGATTTAGGGGTCCCATGAAAAGTATAGATTTAGGGGTCCCGGTATAGATTTAGGGGTCCCGGTAACAATATAGATTTAGGGGTCCCGGTATAGATTTAGGGGTCCCGGTATAGATTTAGGGGTCCCGGTATAGATTTAGGGGTCCTGGTATAGATTTAGGGGTCCCGGTATAGATTTAGGGGTCCCGGTATAGATTTAGGGGTCCCGGTATAGATTTAGGGGTCCCGGTAGTACAGTTGGGTTCGTTCTCAACGCACAATCGAGAATTCCGGATTCGAATTCCTGGGCGGGACGGAAATGGTTGGGCACATTTCCTTTTACCTAATGCCTCTGTTCACCTAGCAGTATGTATGTATTCAGGAGTTAGTCAGCTTGTTGTGGGGTGGCATCCTGGGCGGGGTCAGTAATTACACCTTGGGGGGGGGAGGGGAACCTGGATATAAGCCTAACATGTATGAATACACCCTGGCTGCCTGTCCCCCAACACAATGAATTATTATTATTATTAAATGAAGGAAAATTGGAAAATGTGAAAAAATAATGGAACCATTTGTAAAGGGAAGTGGAACACTATATGAATGGTAGTGGAACACTATATGAATGGTAGTGGAACACTATATGAATGGTAGTGGAACACTATATGAATGGTAGTGGAACACTATATGAATGGTAGTGGAACACTATATGAATGGTAATGAAACAATATATGAATGGAAGTGGAACACTATATGAATGGTAGTGGAACAATATAAATGATTGAATGGAACAATATATAAATGGTAGTGGAACAATATAAATGGTTGAATGGAACAATATATGAATGGTAGTGGAACACTATATGAATGGTAGTGGAACACTATATGAATGGTAGTGGAACAATATATGAATGGTAGTGGAACACTATATGAATGGTAGTGGAACAATGTATGTATGGTAGTGGAACAATATATGAATGGTAGTGGAACAATATATGAATGGTAGTGGAACAATGTATGAATGGTTGAATGGAACACTATATGAATGGTAGTGGAACACTATATGAATGGTAGTGGAACAATATATGAATGGTAGTGGAACACTATATGAATGGTAGTGGAACAATGTATGTATGGTAGTGGAACACTATATGAATGGTAGTGGAACAATATATGAATGGTAGTGGAACAATATATATGAATGGTAGTGGAACACTATATGAATGGTAGTGGAACACTATATGAATGGTAGTGGAACATATATATGAATGGTAGTGGAACAATATATATGAATGGTAGTGGAACAATATATATGAATGGTAGTGGAACAATATATGAATGGTAGTGGAACAATATATGAATGGTAGTGGAACAATATATATGAATGGTAGTGGAACAATATATATGTATGGTAGTGGAAAAATATATATGAATGGTAGTGGAACAATACATATGAATGGTGGTAGAACAATATTTGAATGGTAGTGGAACAATATATGAATGGTAGTGGAACAATATATGAAGGGTTGAATGGAACAATATATGAATGGTAGTGAAAAAAAATATATGATAGTGGAACAATATATGAATGGTAGTGGAACAATATATGAATGGTAGTGGAACACTATATGAATGATAGTGGAACAATATATGAATGGTAGTGGAACACTATATGAATGGTAGTGGAACAATATATGAATGGTAGTGGAACAATGTATGTATGGTAGTGGAACAATATGAATGAATGGATAGTAGGAAAAAAAACATATGATAGTGGAATGGAATATATGAATGGTAGTGGAACAATATATGAATGGTAGTGGAACAATATATGAATGATAGTGGAACAATATATGAATGTAGTGGAACAGTATATGAATGGTAGTGGAACAATATATGAATGTAGTGGAACAATATATGAATGGTAGTGGAACAGTATATGAATGGTTGAGTGGAACAATACATAAATTGCAGATCAGTTGCACTAACATCACATATAATAAAAGTTTTTGAAAGAGTGATATGGAATCAAATTTTCAATTGTATGGAAAGCAGTGAACCTCACAACACAGGACAACACGGGTTTAGGGAGGGCAGAGCCTGTCTGTCACAGTTACTCAACCACTACGACAAAATCACAGAATCTTTAGAAGAAAAACAGAATGCAGATGTTGTGTACACAGACTTTGCAAAGGCTGCCGACAAATGTGACTATGGAGTGAATAAAATTGTGGGTTTTGCAAACTGTATAATTTTGGTGCCTGATCCTCCTCATTTACCTGTGTGAAGCAGGGAAAGAAATGGGGAGAGGAGAGGTGAGAGAGTTGTGGATATGGGAGAAAGATGGAGAGGAGAAGTGAGAAAGGGGTGGCTATGGGAGAAAGGAGGAGAGGTGAGAGAGGGGGTGGATATGGGAGAAAGGGGGGGAGAGGGAGGAGAGGGAGGGAAAGGTGAGGTGACGGGGTGAGAGGAGGATGTTGGGGAAAGAAGGGAGGGATAGAGGAAGAGAGTGGAGGTGGGGAGAGAGAGACCCTGGGCAGAGCTGGGTACCCCATCAATTAAGATATAGAGTAGAAGGAAAATAGATTGTCACAATTATAATTTTATGTTGTAACTACATTTAGGCAAATACACATACAAATACACATTCAGGCGTACAGTATATTGTATATAATACATAGTTATATAAATGATTACAATTGTCCTTCCTTCCTTGATACAGCTTGAAGAACGAAAGGGTAACATCGAATTCCATGTCATTGGTAACTCCCTAACTCAAAAGGTTTCGAAACAGACAATGCTGTGGTTGATTGGTCTTCAGAATGTGTTTTCTCATCAGCTTCCACGGATGCCCAAAGACTATATAACACGGCTCGTGTTTGACCCGTAAGTAGCTCGTAACTGTGCACTATGAGATGTGTTTCTCTTTTTTTTTTTTTTTTTTTTTTTTTTTGTCTATTCTGTACTTATATTTTCTGTGAGAAGCCCCTTCAGCTCCCTGGAGCTATCGGGCTAATATGTGATATATTAGACTAGGGCATTAGTCAATGGAGTTTAGCCAGAACCTGGCCCCCCTCAGAGAGGCACAGGGAGCAATGGCCTCTGGAAAAAAACCCTGTGATTGGGGGTATTCCTTATCTGCCATCAGCTGGGGTTAGGCATCCAGTAAGGTAGGCATAACAAAACAGAGCCCCATTTGGTAGAAAATTGAAACTGAAGACCGAACTGAGAGGCAGAACTTCCCTAAACACCAAGGTAACACGTGAATGTCATGCTTCGCCACCGTGCCACTTGTCCGCGCAGCCCTCTCCTCCCTGGGAGGGGGACGGAGGAACTCGCACGCATGCAAACCCATACACATGCTTCGCCCCTATGCTTCCTCGGGATGTTGGCCTTGTGTAGCTGCACGTGCAGGTCCCTACTCTTTCGGCATCTTTGGTAGCTGAGGCTTCCACGCCCATGGGCATTTAACTTTGGTCTTGTTGTTCTTTTCCATTTTCGAGCTATCTTTGGACTGGCTTTAGGAGGATGTGGAGGCGTTGAGTGCCGGCCTTCGTCTGGTGCACTGGCCTTGGCGCCTCAGACATCAGCTGCACTTTTGAAGCTCATTGTGCTGGTTCTCGGGGAACCGGTGTGTCTGTTCTTTGCATCTCACCTTACGTGCTGGCAGGCTGTGCTCGCTCTCTCTTAGGAATCTGCTTCGGCCCTGGCTCTTAGAGTTTCGTTGCCTTTTTGTTTGTTGCTGTTTGCGGAGACGGCTGTTACAGTTTCTGCAGGCAGCTTTGTCTCGTTGTCGTCCTATGTCGGACTTGTTGCTTCTCTGGGGTGGCCGTTCTCGGCCTTCTCGGAAGGGTTGTGCCAGGGTTCAGGGTTCCTCCAGTCGGGATGGGCCATTGGTGCCATCTTCTGAGCCGGCACTTCCTTTGAAGCTGGTGTCATCTGGTCAGCTTAATTATCACTCTATTTGTCAACCGGCTTCTCGTAAGGGGTGTCGGCCCTTTCACAGTTCGCCCCACTGACGGGGCCATGGAGGGGAGGCTCGAGCTCTTTGCTCATGCTTGGTCCCATGATTCGTAAGCGTTTTCGGGTCATTTCCTTCAGCTTGTGGTGGCGTTGAGTGGCACCTCCTCCTCCAGAACATTTGGGGCTCGCGGGACACACTCTTCCCCTGCGCTCCATCAGGTCATCTTGGAGTGGGTGCACTTGGGCATGGTCGAAAAGACTCCATCCCTCAGGTGGGTTTCTGGCTTGTTTCCAGTGCCAAAACCGGACTATGCAGATCTGCGGTTCATTCTGGACTTGTCCCATCTGAACCCCTGGATTCCTTGCCCCTGCTTTTGAATGACCACTCTGTCTCAGGTTTGGCTTCTGTGGGAGCTGGGCGTCTGGATGGTGTCCTTGGACCTCAGGGATGCATATTGGCACCTTCACATTCATCTGGGATTCAGGGACTGGTTAGGTTTTGTTGTGGGGCATCAGGCTTACAGCTTTCGTTGCTTTCCTTTTGGCTTGAATCTGGCACCTCACATGTTCAGGCATCTTACCCAGGTCGTGGTGACCTGTCTGCATCTGTTAGGGGTTCGGGTTTTGGCCTACCTTGACGACTGGTTGGTGTGGGCTCCCAGGCGGTCTGCCTGTCACCTCGCCAGGGGTGTGGTTCTTTCCCAGCTCGCTGGGTTCAGGTTCCTGGTGAACTGGAGGAAGTCCCATCTGGTTCCGTTCCAGGTTCGGTCCTGGCTGGGCCTTGTTTGGAACCCACAGACTGCTTCCATGTCTCTCTCCCACCGGAAGCATTGCTGCAGCTGGGGTCCCGCCTCCTGCTGTTTCTGGGGGGCTACCGGGTCACTCAGTGTTTGCTCGAGCAGTTGGGCAGTCTGGTTTGGCTTCGGTGTCTGTTCTGGTTCCTTCAGGGATGTCCCTTCCGCCTCTCTCGCGATCACTGGGTTTGGCCTCCGTGAGCCTTGTGTCGGTTGCTGCATCGCCGGCTTCCTCTTCGGGCTTTCCTACCCGAGCCCTCACTCGATGTGTTCATGGATGCGTCGTTTCTTGACTGGGGCATTGTGACCAGTGCTCACCATGTTGGCCAGGGGCAGCGGGGTTCGCCCTTCCATCGAGCTCATAGCACAGTGCGGGAGTTCGCAGTGGTTTGGCTGTCGCTTCGGAGAGTTCGGGTTGGTCGGGGTTCAACAATCCGGCTCCATTTAGACTGTTCTCCGGTGGTTCATTGCCTGAACCGTGGGAGTTCTCTTTGGTCCTTGGCTCTTTGGGGCTAGTTGCTTCGAGTGGTTCGTCTGCTGGTTTCTCAGGGTTTGGCTCTCTGTGCCATTCATATCCTGGGAGTGTTCAGTGTCCTGGCAGACGGCCTGTCTTGGTTCATTTCCCTGTCCACAGAATGGACAGCTAATGCTGACTCCTTCCTCTTGGCGTTGGCATAGTCTCGACGTTTCCCGACTTATGTGGCGCCATTACCCAACTACGGAGCCGTTTCGGTGGACACCTTTCAGCAGGACTGGTTGATGTGGGGTTACTTATATCTGTTTTCCCCGGTCCAGATGTTCTCTTCTGGCCTGGCTCAGTTGGAGTCTTACCATCGGAGAGTCGTCTTGGTGGCCCCTTAGTGGCTAGCCCAGCCTTGGTTTCAGGCGCTGCTTGCTCAGTGTACGACCCCGGGGCATTTTGTGCAGCTCTGCCTCTTTCAGCAGATCGGACCGGTTTGGTACATGGCTGGTTCGGTCTACTCCTCTCTTCGTGTCTGGTCTTTTTTATGCGGGTTTATCACCATTTGTATGGTAATCAGGTGGCTTCGTTGATGGTTGACCCAAAGCTCGCAGGTTGACCCTGCGAGCTTCGTCTCTGCGACAGTATGAAGTTTTCTGGTGTTGTTTTTGCCATTCTCTCTCTTCGTAGGTTGTCTTCTATTTCTGATCAGGTTGTCATGTTCTTTCTTTCTTGGATTTTTCAGGACCATCTTTTGATGCCAAATACTGTCAGCTCGTATTGTGTGGCGCTGGCAGAGCCATTCCAGCTTGCATTTGGGGTGGCTATCACTTCTGCCCCGTTCCGTTAGCTTTTTCGTGCTATGTTTCACCTCCGGCCTGCTCATGCACCACCTGAGTCGTCCTAGTCCTTGGATAGGGTGCTCTCCTTTCTCTTCCTTGGTTCGTGGTGACCCGTTTGGTTCAAGATTGTTTTTCCAAGGCTGTTTCTGTTGGTATTGGCCTCTGGGGGTTGGGTTGGTAAACTTCATGCTTTCCTCCGGCCCTGGTGGTCAGTTTGTTCGGTTGCAACTGTCTCCTCCTTGTCTGGCGAAGAACGAGATGGCCGCTTTCCGGAGGGGTCCTTGGGTCTTTGATACTTGGTTGGTCAGGCTTCTATTGTTTCACCTACCTTTCTGGGTCAATGGCAGAAATGACATACTCTAAATGTAGAGTGCTCATATGGCCATTGCTCCCTGCACCTCTCTGAGGGGGCCAGGTTCTGGCTCGTGGCCTTCGGTAGGCACTAGAACTCCCGGGACTGATGACACCAAACTAATATGGCACATGTCAGTTTGATAGCTTCAGGGAGCCTCCAGGGCTCACCCAGCAAATGGCATTTCATTACATTCAACACTGGTTTCTCAGGGGAGCCCCATCGGTTCCCTGGAGCTATTCACAATATATTAGATTTCTGGCATCAGTCAATGTGCATGGAGTTCTAGTCCTACTGGGGACCACGAACCAGCACCTGGCCCCCTCAGAGAAGCACGAGGAGCAATAGCCTATAGAAACCCCCGTGTGGTCGGAAGCATTCTGTGTCTGCCATTGATCGGGTCAGGCACCCAGAAAGGTAAGTATCCCAAAACAAATCCCTATTCTGGTGAAAACATTGCTAAAAATAGCCGAACGAGTGGACGGAACTCCCCAAATGAAAACAAGCAAACTAGCTTGATATAATCACGTTGCCGCGCCGCTGTCTGTGCAATCCCCCCTCCTCAGAAGGGGGAAGGGGAAGCCCCAGACCTTCATGCCGGCTACCCACCCTTCAGTTCTTGGCTGATGTGACACTGGTAAGATCGTGTGTCTCTGGCTCCAGCAAATTGTTTCAGTTCTGTGCCATGTGGTGTGGTGTGCTATCTCTAAGGTCGGTGTGCGAGCCAGGAGTAATTTCTTTAGAGGCAGGGGATTTGGAAGATAGCTCTGCCCCTGGTCCTCAGGGTGAGGTTCCCGGGGCAGGGGAGGGGTTGACATAGGGGCCTTGGGCCCCGTTGGACCCCGTTTGGGTTTTTGTATCCTCGGAGCAGGGCTTGGTGTTACAAGGAGTGGGGTTCTCTTATTCACCCTCCTCATACAAATTGGATTTGGCGTCTACCCCTCCTCGGGTTCGGTTCTGTGATCCTGTGATTTCGTCGGTTCCATCTTTCCGGAGATTTTTGGCCTCCCGCATCCCGCCCCATGTGGTGTGGAAAGGCCTTGCAGCTTATCTCCTGCACGACCCGGATTATGCCTTCGTAATGGATCCAAATTTTTTAGTGTATGGATCATCGGTTCCTTGCTGGGTTTGTTATGAGGTTCTGGAGTCTTCCTGGTTGGCAGACAGCCCCTTTTTCTCGTTGGAGGCTTGGCGTGCGTTCTGTCGGTCCCACATGCTTGAGTGGCAGGAAGCTCATATGATGTTGCAGGTTTTCCTAGGGGCAATTTTGAGCATCTCGATGTGTGCTTGTTCGCCCCTGCTCTTCCACGGGATGTTAATGTGATGCAGCTTCATGTGAGGTTCCTTCCTTTTCGACTGCATTGGTTGCGGAGGACTTTGCATGTGCTGTTTTTTGCTTCCTGTCTTGCATGTTGGCAGGCAGTGCTTGCTTCTTTTTTGGAATCCACTTGGACCCTGACTCTTAGGTTGTCTGTTGCTGTTTGCAGAGTCTGCGGTTGTGCTTCGTCTAATTGTCATCCTATGACGGGCATGTTGGTTCTCCAGGCGAATCGTGGGGGGGCCTTCCCAGATGGGTCGTGTTAGGGCTTGGGGTTCCTCTCATCATGGTAGGCCAGTGGTGCTAGAGTTGGTACCGGCACAGTCTTCGGAACCCGCCGGGTTGGGTTTGGCTTCGTCAGCTGTTGCTGAGCTCAGCCTCCGGGGGCTTTGCGTTGCTTGCTGTGTCGCCGGCTTCCTCTTCGGGTTTTTCGGGGTTCAGTGCCTTGGCGCCTACCCGAGTCCTTCCTAGATGTGTTCACAGATGTGTCGTCTCTTGGCTGGGGCTTTGTGACCAGTGTTCACCAGACCAGCCAGGGGCAGTGGGATCTGTCATTCCGTCGGGCTCACAGCATGGTGCGGGAGTTTGTGGCTGTGAGGATGTCACTCTGGAAGGTTTGGGTCACTCGCGGATCGACGATCAGGTTCCATTTGGATTGTTCCCAGTGGTTCATTGCCTGAACCGCGGGAGTTCGATGTGGTCCTTGGCTGTTTGGGGCTGGTTTTTTCGGGTGACTCGTCTGCTGAGTTCTCAGGGTTTGGCTCTCCTGGCGGTTCACGTTCGGAGGGTGTCCAACGTCCTGGCAGATGGCCTGTCCCGGTTCATTCCCCTGTCCACAGAATGGACAGTCGACACCGACTCGTTCAGTTGACTCTGCCGGACATTCGGGCCTCTAGAAGTGAACCTCTTTGTGTCAGCGTGGTTTAGGCATCTTCCCGTATACCTGAAGCCATTCCCCGACTACGAGGCCATCGGGATCAGTGCTTTCAGGCACAGACCGGGCGAGGTGGGATTACCTGTACCTCTTTTCCCCGGTTCAGCTGTTGCTCATGTCCTGGCTCACTTGGAGACTTACTAGGGGGGAGTCATCCTTCTGGCTCCATGGTGGCCAGCCCAGCCTTGGTTTCAGGAGCTGCTTGCTCGGTGTCTAAACCTGAGGGTCTTCCTGCAGCTCCGTCTCTTTCAACAGATCGATCCAGCCTGGTACGTTGCTGGTTCACTCTTCTCCTCGAGTCTTTGCGTCTAGTCATTCTGACCATAGTCTATCATCATTTGTATAGTGCGCAGGTGACTTCATTGAAGATTTCCCACCTGCGTGCTTCATCTCGGTGGCAGTATGAAGTTTCCTGGTGGTCCTTCCATTATTTCCTATCTTTGTGTAGGTGTACTTTGGTCTCTGACAGTGTTGTTTTGCCCTTCCTTTTGCGGTTGTTCCAGGACCATCATCTTATGCCAAATATTGTCGCCTCGTATCGTGCAGCACTGGCGGAGCCGCTGCAACTTGCGTTCGGTATTGATGTTACTTCTGCTCCGTTCCGCAAGCCGTCGTGTGAGTTGTTTCACCTCCGGGCTGCTCATGCGCCGCCTAAGCCGTCCTGGTCGTTAGACTGGGTGCTCTCTTTTCTCTCCTCCTCCTCAGTTTGTAGTGGCCCCTATGGTTCAGGATTTTTTTCTAAGGCTCTTTTTTTTTTTTTTTCCTGTTGGCATTGGCCTCTGGGGGTAGGATCGGGGAGTGCTTTATGCTCTCCTCTGGGGCAGAGGTTTCTTCTCTTTTGGTCTTGGTGGAAGGTTTGTTCGTTTGCAGCCATCTCCTTCTCTTCTGGCGAAGAATGAGTCTGCTGCTTTCCGGATGGGATAATGTATTGTGTCCGGTTGCGGCTCTCTGCCGTTATCTGGGTGCCATAGCTTCGGTAGCCGAGGGCGTGCTGTGGGTTGACTTGATTTCCCTTCTTCCCTGTTCCAGGATGCAGGTCTCCCAGGTCGTCCACAGGGTTATCAGGTCTAGCCAGCCTGCAGTCTGTTCTTGTGCCCACGTCGTTCGTAAGTTTCCTGCCATGGCTGCCGTCTTCAGTAACATATCTTGGGTTGACATTCGGGCACGGGGTTTTTGGAGATTGAACAAGGTCTTGGCCACTCGCTACCTTGTCAGTGTTCCTGGGCCTTGTAGGGCCTGTGTCGTATTGGGTAGGCAGTTGCAGCCAGTTGTCTCGACTTCGAGTTAAGGAGCGAAGACCGACCACTTCCCTGGTAAGTCCCCATTTTTGTCTTTGTCTTTGTCTTTGGGTAGTTAGCTCTGGGTAGCCAACAGGGTTCCCCCCAAGAAAACCACCGTTGAATGTAATGAAACGCCGTTTTCTGGGTTTTCTGTTTTTTTTCTGCGTTTTTTCGCATTTTTGACATCCAGCCTTAAGAACTGAAGGGTGGGTAGCTGGCATGAAGTTTTGGGGCTCCCCCTTTCCCCTCCCTGAGAGTGGGAGGCTGCGCAGACATCGGCGCAGTAATGTGGTGACATCATGCTAGTTTGCTTGTTTTCATTTGGGGTGTTCTTTCCACTTGTTCGGGTCATTTTAGCAATGTTTTCACCAGAATTGGGGTTTGTTTTGGGGACACTAACCTTTCTGGGTGCCTGACCCGGTGATGGCAGACACAGAATGCTTCCAACCATACGGGGGTTTCAATAGGCCATTGCTCCTCGTGCCTCTCTGAGAGGGCCAGGTTCTGGCTCATGGTCTCCGGTAGGCCTTGAACTCCATGCACATTTGCACATTGACTGATGCCAGAAATCTAATATATCCATATCAGCCTGGATAGCTCCCGGGGAGCCTCCGGGACTCGTCCAGAAAATGGCGTTTCATTACTTTCAACTTTTTTTTTTTTTTTTTTTTTTTTTTTTTTTTTTTTTTTTTTTTTTTTTTTTTTTTTTTTTTTTTTTTTTTTTGCTAAATTACTAATGAGGAATACAGAAAAAATAATCTCTTTTTCATGTACACTACGATAATGTATAGCATGAAAAATCATTTTATTTGTTTAATTTTATCTACAGGCATCATACAATTTACCAAAACTGCTTTGGATCAAATTTGATTGAGCTGTTTGTTTCAGGAAACATTGTACATTAGCCTTGATCAAGGAGAATCGACCCATTGGAGGTATATGTTTTCGGATGTTTGCTGCCCAGGGATTTACGGAGATTGTCTTCTGTGCAGTTACGTCTAATGAACAAGTAAAGGGCTACGGTACCCACATGATGAACCACTTAAAGGATTACCATGTCAAAAATAATGTTCTTCATTTTCTTACCTTCGCTGACGAGTTTGCCATCGGTAAGTTAATAGACACAAGGTAGAATTTATACAACAATTATTTTGTTGGTGGCATACTCTTCCTTTGCAACTTTTGGCTGTCTGATTTAGAATTGTGATTGTAGCCTACATAGAGATTACCCAAAATTATGGTGTGTGAGTGGCTTGTCCCTTTCTCCTCAGAATTAACAGAAGATAACCTAAACCTTTCTGAAGTCTGTGCAGGCTTGTGGCATCATGTAAATGTTATAGTGCGTCATGGTCATTGATAGTGAGGCCTGAGCAATATAAAACAAACAGGTTATAAGAGGTATTTATGGATCTGAAACATAAATATTTTATTTAAGATTAGCTTACAAAAATTTCCAAATGGATTGCATTGGAAGAAGCAAAATGTGTGTTAGCTACAAGTAAGTAAATATGAATTAAGTTAAAATACAGCTCTAGCAAGAGTACTTAACGGGTTGCAGATTGAAGTAAATTAAAAATATGATGTATAAACATAATGTTTATTTACAGTATATCAAACCTCTGATGTATAAACATCAGAGGTCCACAGTTGTTCAACATCCTCCCAGCAAGCATAAGAAATATTGCTGGAACAACTGAGGACATTATCAAGAGAAAACTAAATAATTTTCTCCAAGGAGTGCCGTACCAACCGGGCTGTGGTGGGTATGTGGGCCTGCAGGCCGCTCCAAGCAACAGCCTGGTGAACCAAACTCTCACAAGTCAAGCCTGGCCTCGGGCCGGGCTGGGGGAGTAGAAGAACTCCCAGAACCCCATCAAGCAGGTATGAGTAAGCCTAAAATACAGATCTAGCGACAGTAATTATGGGGTTGCAAAATGAAGTGTTTGAGAACATGAAAGATGATTGTCTGTTCGACATGATGTTTGTGAAATGGAAAATGAGATACCTTTCTATTCTTGGATTGGCAATAGGTAACAAATGGGACAGGATCTCTGGCTTGTTTCAAGTGAAGATGAGACACACATATGCTGTATATAAGCAAGTTCCTCCACCAGCTCGCAACACACAACACTCAGAACACTATGAATGCCACTTCTTTTTCTAAATTTTTCAAACCATCCCTTGCTCGCCTTAGACTCTTTCTCATTTGCATCACTCGTTCCAGGGGTTTTCTTTAAAAGGTCTTCATGCAATTTCCTTGCTTTTTCACCAATGATGGCCTCTGAAACTCTATCACCCGCTAACTCCTTGTTGTGTATCCAAATTAATAATAACTGTTCAACATCCTCAAGTGTTTGTGTTCTATGTTTCGTGATTATTGATACGCCTTATACCACTTTAGCACTCATAATGTATTTTTTCTTAGCCAGTATGGTGGATAGCGTTGACTGAGATTTGTTGTACTGCTTAGCTAGTTCAACAACCCGCACACCATCTTCATATTTACGAATGATCTCTTGTTTTTGCTCTGTGGTCATCCTTACATGGGTTTTCATATGTTGTACCTTACCACTGACTTTCTTGGGACCCATGGTGTGATGTATAATAATTACTTTTATGTTCAAAAAGCAAAAAATCACCACAAAAACGGAATTTCTTATAGGCGTGATCGTCACTAAGCAGGCAGCTGTAGTAAACTGAGGCAGGTCGGCCCGCGTGACCGGGAACCAGACGTTCGGTCGACCCGAACATGTTCCAACAAATATCGTTAGTCGACGACACCATCGTATGTCAAGTCGCATTTTTCTATCAAATTTACATCATAACTCAAAATTATCGTAAGTTGGGGCAATCATAAGTCGAGGTGCCACTGTATTCCATTTCTGCCATATCATCACCGGTATAAGTGGGAGCCAGTCGGCCGAGCGGACAGCACGCTGGACTTGTGATCCTGTGGTCCCAAGTTCGATCTCGGGTGCCAGCGAGAAACAATGGGCAGAGTTTCTTTCACCCTATGCCCCTGTTACCTAGCAATAAAATAGGTACTTGGGTGTTAGTCAGCTGTCACAGGCTGCTTCCTGGGGGTGGAGGCCTAGTCGAGGATCGGGCCGCGGGGACACTAAAGCCCCGAAATCATCTCAAGATAACTCAAGATATGGGAATAATGGTGTAACACCAAAATCGGTAGCATCGAACGTTGGTATTAAAGGGACAAATGTGGTGCAATCCTCCCGCACAAGTAAACCCGGGGTTTGGTGGTGGTACCAACACCACCATGAGCACCAAAAACATGGTTACGTCGTCTGGTGCTGGAGCTGCGTGAGGGTATGTTAGGCGATGAGGCAGATTTACATAGAGTAGGCCTACCACGAACACCTGATGTTGAGGGGCCACTGTCGTCATTGTCCCGCTGCTGTGAGACATGCTGCCGCCTGCTGCGATGTGTTGCTGAGGCAGCAAAACCCTACCTGGTAACACTCTCGCTGCTCATACTCGGGTCATCCGCACTACTCCTATCAGAGCCCATGTCACTGAAGCTGAGAACGATTCATCATATGTACTGTCACTGAATAAACTTGCGTCTGGGGACATGCATGGTGGTGGTGGTGATAATGGTGTTGGCCCAGGGCGGCGAGGCAGGCCAGGGGAGATGTGTGTACCGTACACGCTTGCCACATCATCCACCTCAGTCTCTCCCTCACTCGTATCAGACCTCTGAGTAAGGTCTTTCTCTGGATCATAATCTAGATCATCATCCATAGCACCGTCATCATACAAAATGTTTTATATCTTCTCCTCAAAGAGTCGTTTTCCATGACTGCGGGTCACCGTGGAGCGGGAGCTCGTAGACGATGCATCAGACATGGTTGCTGCTTTGAAACTGAGGCTCCCTGTGGCCGCAGGGCATGCTGGGAATTTTTTTCAAGATGGCAGACGATCACTGGGGCCCCAAGGCATCCATTTCGTACCCGGGTCACCGCACGGCAGTTTTGAATGGAACATGACAAATAAAAATAACCGGAGGTGCGTTGCGCAAACCAGACGAGGGCCTGCAGGTGCGTTGCGCAGTTCAAGGGATAACCTAGTCAAATATAACTGGTCACGAGCCAGTTGAATGTGACCGGGTCTTGACCTGGTCAAATGTAACTAGTCTTGACCCCGTTGAATATAATTGGCTTCAACCTGTTCAACTAAGAAATCAATGACGGTACAGTATTTAAAATGAGAACTTTGGATAATTTTGATCTTATGTATATCTTGTAAGGATTTTTTTCATTTTAAATGTGCTATATTTGCATATTTATACAATACTGTATATGTCATTAATAAGATGGTTTTATTTGTCAGGTTACTTCAAGAAACAAGGATTTAGCAAGGACATTCAGCTGTCCCGCGCCGTGTATCAGGGCTACATCAAAGATTATGAGGGAGCTACGCTAATGGGCTGTGAATTAAATCCAAACATTGTTTATACAGAATTTACTGCTGTTATTAGAAGGCAGAAGGAGGTAAGATACTACCTCTTTTGTATACTTTGCCAGTATATACCATTGTTTGTGTCATATACTCCACTGGTAGGTTGTGTTTGTGTCATATACTTCACTGGTAGGTTGTGTTTGTGTCATATACTTCACTGGTAGGTTGTGTTTGTGTCATATACTACACTGGTAGGTTGTGTTTGTGTCATATACTACACTGGTAGGTTGTGTTTGTGTCATATACTACACTGGTAGGTTGTGTTTGTGTCATATACTACACTGGTAGGTTGTGTTTGTGTCATATACTCCACTGGTAGGTTGTGTTTGTGTCATATACTACACTGGTAGGTTGTGTTTGTGTCATATACTACACTGGTAGGTTGTGTTTGTGTCATATACTTCACTGGTAGGTTGTGTTTGTGTCATATACTTCACTGGTAGGTTGTGTTTGTGTCATATACTACACTGATAGGTTGTGTTTGTGTCATATACTACACTGATAGGTTGTGTTTGTGTCATATACTACACTGATAGGTTGTGTTTGTGTCATATACTACACTGGTAGGTTGTGTTTGTGTCATATACTACACTGGTAGGTTGTGTTTGTGTCATATACTACACTGGTAGGTTGTGTTTGTGTCATATACTCCACTGGTAGGTTGTGTTTGTGTCATATACTACACTGGTAGGTTGTGTTTGTGTCATATACTACACTGGTAGGTTGTGTTTGTGTCATATACTTCACTGGTAGGTTGTGTTTGTGTCATATACTTCACTGGTAGGTTGTGTTTGTGTCATATACTACACTGATAGGTTGTGTTTGTGTCATATACTACACTGATAGGTTGTGTTTGTGTCATATACTCAGCTAGTAAGTACTGTACATTGTGTATTTGTGGTTTTTACTACATGTCTAATTGTGTGTGTATGGCTTGAGATATAGCTCTGTGAACCTGCCTCTCATCTGTCAGTCAACTTGTGCACAGATTCCCAGGCCTTTTGGATTGTGTCATGAGTGTATGCATAATTAGCTAAGTGTAGTTACAGGATGACAGCTACACTGTTGGTGGCACACATTACCCTCTCATAGACAGCATAGTAGTTCATTTGTTCATTTGATGCATCACGTTCGTGTGATCTCTGTGTGTAATTACCTAAGTGTAGTTACAGGATAAGAGCTACACTCGTGGTGTCCCGTCTTCCCAGCACTCTTTGTCATATAACGTGTGACAGTATAGTAGTGTTTGTTGGTTTGTTCCGACTCTATACTGTTGGGGGAGCAACTTTTTTGTATGTCTTATGTTTACAAATTCAGCTGTTCAACTATTGACAGTGTTTCTACCTTACCAGAAATGGTTGAACCTAAGTAACCCACCTAACCTATTAAGGCTAATGCTCGGAATATGTTAATATTATGGTGCATTAATTTTCATTATAAAATCCCACAACTTAAACAAATTGGTTGATTCTACTACAAATTATTACAGAGCACCACTTGGTTTCCGAACTTTAGTTATCCGAAACTTCCAGTTTCCCGATTGGGGTTGGGGAATCATGCTACCCGAACAAAGTTCGGGTAGGAAGGGGTCCGCCAAGCGTCACGCCGGCTTGTGGTGGTGGGTGGGAGATGGTCCAGTTTGCCCGCTGTGACTTCACAGATTCACGGCCTATTATTCCTATTATTTTGAATTGCCATAAGGCTGGAATGTTCATTCTGTGCTTTTGTTTTACATATCTGCACAATCAAGAAACATCTGTGCACCATGTTGGCTCCAAATGCACGCATTGCGTCAGTGATGGCTGACTGGTGGGTGGATGGACGATGGAGCTTAGGTGGGAGGCAGTATGAGAGAGGGGGGGGAATCAGTGAGAGAGGGGGAGAATTAGTCAGAAAGGGAGGGAGAGAGAGATGCTAGGAGGGAGGGGGAGGTAGGGAGAGATGTTAGGAGGTAGGGAGAGATGCTAAGAGAGAGGGGGAGGTAGGGAGAGATGCTAGGAGGTAGGCAGGAAGGGACGGAAGTAGTGAGAATTAGGGAGGGAAAGGCAGGCTGGCAGGCACAGACAGGCAGGCTAGCTTGCAGGCAGGCTAGCTTGCAGGCAGGCTGGCAGGCAGGGAGTGAGTGGTAGTCACGCGGTTGAACCGCGTGACCTTGAGAGATGGGATGTAGGGGGGTGGGTGGTTTGTTGGTGGTGGGGGTGAGACCGGCTCATTCCCGAAGATAAGCCTAACACACACTACCTGTTAGCATGATGGCAGGGAGGGAGGCAGGCAAGCTTGCAGGCTGGGAAGGAGGCAGGCAGGCAGGTAGCGATATATGGGTGTTGAAGTGAACCGTGAACCACGTGACCTTTGAGAGTGTGTGTGTGTATGGGTTTGGGGTGGGGGGAGAGGGGGAGGTGTGTCGGTGGTGGGGGAGGGACCGGCTGACTCCGTAAGCCTAACCACACTCCACAGACCTGTGACCCAGATTTGTTTCTTAAATGTACAGTACATCATCGTATATTTTAGGCAGGATGTGCCTGCAGGCTGGCAGGATGTGCCTGCAGGCTGGCAGGATGTGCCTGCAGGCTGGCAGGATGTGCCTGCAGGCTGGCAGGATGTGCCTGCAGGCTGGCAGGATGTGCCTGCAGGCTGGCAGGATGTGCCTGCAGGCTGGCAGGATGTTCCTGCAGGCTGGCAGGCAAGCTGGCAGGCAGGCTGGCAGGATGTGCCTGCAGGCTCACAGGCAAGCTGGCAAGCAGGCTGGCAGGATGTTCCTGCAGGCTGGCAGGCTGGCAGGATGTGCCTGCAGGCTCGCAGGCAAGCTGGCAGGCAGGCTGGCAGGATGTTCCTGCAGGCTGGCAGGCAAGCTGGCAGGCAGGCTGGCAGGATGTTCCTGCAGGCTGGCAGGCAGGCAGGCTGGCAGGATGTTCCTGCAGGCTGGCAGGCAGACAGGCAGGCTGGCAGGATGTTCCTGCAGGCTGGCAGGCAGGCAGGCAGGCAGGCTGACAGGATGTTCATGCAGGCTGGCAGGCAGGCAGGCTGGCAGGATGTTCCTGCAGGCTGGCAGGATGTTCCTGCAGGCTGGCAGGATGTTCCTGCAGGCTGGCAGGATGTTTCAGCAGGCTGGCAGGATGTTCCTGCAGGCTGGCAGGATGTTTCAGCAGGCTGGCAGGATGTTCCTGCAGGCTGGCAGGAAACATCCAGAGGATGTTTGCCAGACGTCTTAATAATCAGCTAGGAACAATTAAGGACTTTTATAAAGCGGATCAGGACTTCACTTATTGGTGAGTACAAACAAAACACGGTCGCATTTACGCTATGAACCTGTCGATTTTTTCCCCTAGAGTTTTTTCGTAAATTTTTTTCGGAAACATTTCTTTTTACATTTCTAGTTTATTTTTTCCCCTCTATTTCTCGTATACGAACTTACATGTTAACCGACGGGTCTCGTCCCCAAGGGGTTCGGAAACCAAGTGGTGCTCTGTAAGCAAAAAGGCAAGTTGGAAAAAAACATAGTTTTGTTAAAAAATTTGGTACTGCAATGTCAGAATAACATTATTTAGCTGTCACAATTGAATTATATATTAAATGTATGGTCAATCTTGTGTCAGTCCATCCACTTCTACGTTCTTAGATTTATTTTGATGTAAAAGGTTTCATCTGATTATTGTTAATATTTTATGTAGACAACGCTATTGGGTCACTTGGGTCACATACCAAACATGTGGACTTGGAAGTCAGTCATGTTAGTCTTCAAGGGATGCAAACGTAATATTTCTTCTCAACTATATTGGTCCAAGTTTTACATACAGTACTTCCTAAGCTCACTTATCTGGGCTATATGGGAAGGACTTCTCACTGGATAAGTAATTACCTAAGTGTAGTTACAGGATGAGAGCTACGCTCGTGGTGTCCCGTCTTCCCAGCACTCTTTGTCATATAACGCTTTGAAACTACTGACGGTCTTGGCCTCCACCAAGACCGTCAGTAGTTTCAAAGCTCTGTACTGGTGAGCTATAAGTATAAGTGTACTGGTGAGGGGTCTGTACTGTACGAGCTACTCTCCTTCACCTTCCTCTTTGCTGTCTTTTATTTTATTTCATTCCTTCTCTTTTTTTTCTTTTATCTTCTCTTGGATGGCATCTTATGCCTCCTTTGTCACCTCATGTTCTTTGTTCCTGCAGTGCTGGCGGGGCCGCTGCAGTTTGCGTTTGGGGTCGACACTTTCTCGGCTCTGTTTCACAAGTGGTTTGGGTGTTGTTCACCTCGGCCTGCTTTACACTGCCTAGGCTGGCTTGGTCTCTGTCCCTTCTTTTCTCCTTTCTACTCAGTGGTGGTGTCCCCTTTTGTTCAACTTGTTTCCGGTTGCTGGTTCCCGAACTTGGTGCTCCTACAGCTAAGGTTAATGTGGGGTGCCTTTCATTCAACGCTGTTTTTCGTTTCATTCAACATTTAATGCTGTTTTTCTGGGGGAGCCCCTACGACTCCCTGGAGCTTACTAAGCTGATATGCTAATGTGAGACTTTGGCATCAGTCATGTGTATGGAGTTCTTATGGGCCTACCAGGGACCACGAGCCAGAACCTGGCCCCCTCTAGAGAAACAAGGGAAGCAATGGCCTATAGAAACCCCCGTGTAATTGGAAGCATTCTATGTCTGCCATCAACCGGGTTAGGCACCCAGAAAGGTAGGCATCCCAAAACAAACCCCTGTTCTGATGAAAACTGCAACCAAAAGCCGAATGAGTGGATAGAACTCCCCAAACAAAAAGTGAGCAAACTAGTATGAAGTCATTCATCGTCATGTCGCTATCTGCACAGCCCCCTCCCCCCCCCCCTTCCTCCTCGGGAGGGGGAATGGGCAGCCCCAGACCTACCGCGCCGGCGATTCACACCCCAGTTCTTGAGGCTGATGCTATCGGCTCGGTTGTGTGCTCTGGCTCCAGTCTTTTTGCGGCGCTGTGCCTTGTGTGTGGCTGCTGTACTCCAGGAGTGCGAGAGCCAGGAGTTATTCCTCGGTACTCAGGCTGCATGCGCCTTGGGTTCCCT